CGAAACTGTCTTCCTGTCAGTGATGGATATACACAATTGTCTCAACCTGATTCTTGACTTATTGTTCGTTGAAATTTTCATACTCTTCAGCACGACTTCACAAGAATCACAGGACGGTGGACCGAATAATAGTGAGTCCCAACTCTCCAGCCACCGCGCCATGGAGATAGTTTTTCGGTTTCCAGTAGCACCAATTTTCACCACCACCCACGCATCCAACCACAAATCTTTTAAAAGACAATCGAAGCATGTATGTAAATATCTAAATTCTTACATTCACCCTCATTCCCATCTTCATTAAGCTCAAAGTAATGTTTACTTTATTACCTGTTTCTTTGAATTCCTATTTTCTCATTCAATTTATCCTTAATTTAATATTGAAGATTTCTTTCCTTCACCACAAGCTCACTTCTAATGTCAGCATCATCCATCATTTAACTTAATATTAAGTCTAATTATTCATTCGTCATTATTTCATTTTTAACATGTTTGCAGTACAACAATTTCAAATCATTTAAATCATTTTCCCTTCCACATCCCATCCTCTTCAAATTCATTTTCTCTTGCATACTTTAGTAACTTCATGTACATTAATTCATTATCTAAATTGTAGTGGAGGGCTCCAACGAAAGCCTCTTTCTGATGGAACCTTGTGATGAAATGGCAATACAATCTAAATGGAATCACTTTTTTGTCAAAAACATTCTTGAGCCTGACGGCTCCACTTCTCCTATAGCGTCTCCCTTGTGTGCTCGGTCTTGGAAATGTGCAAACATTGACGCCAAATGTCTACTTTAGACCGGTCTCCTTGGCTTGTTTGTCTACGCTTGCGTTTCGGATGTGTATCATTCACCGTGAGCGCCCACACTACCATGCGTGGGCATCTTGGCGTCCAGACCCAGCTGAAACGGGCGACCAAGGATAAGTCATGTAGGTAGTCATGGCAACGTGAATTGGCCTAAGTGGTTCGGCGCCAGTGTTAAAAGAGTCTGGGAGTGTAACGGTGGGAATTTGCCCTCAGACGAGAGTGGTATTAAGTGCCAATCTGTAATGGCGAAAGTCGGACGCCCCATCCAGTCGTGTCTGTATGAGAGGTTAGTTGTGCGACTAACAGACAAAGATGCTGTCTGTGCGCACAGTGCAGTGTGCCGGGGAGTGGGAAAAGTGGCGAATCTGAGCAGAATGTCGCATGGTAGCGGACAAATACGAATGGAGTGTGCCTAAGCCCGGGTCATATGATAAACTGACGTCGGTCTGACCTCCGATTCGGCCAGACGAAAAGGTGTGTTTTTAAGCTCAAACTTTGCCGTGTCCCCGTCACTGGCAGCCGGTGGGCACAAACTTTGTATCCATGTCCAAACATGCCAGACGAAAAACCTCTTCCCCCTCCAGCTCTGGCACGTATCCACTCGGGAAGCGGGCTCTGGGATAATCCTATTGGCCGTCTCTTCAGGCCACATAAATCATCAATCCTTTTCGGCGGAATAGAGCGAAGGCCAAGTGAATGAGACGCCGCAAATGAAAGTCAGGGAGAACAGGAGAAAATCGGACAGAGCGGGAGAGAGAAAGATGTAGAAAAGGAAAGACAGAGACAGAGGGAAATAGAGAAATGGAAGGATAGAGAGTTAACGAGACAGAGAGAGAGAGAGAGAGATAGTAAGGAGGAGGTACAGAGAGCTGTGGAGCGAAAGGGCAATGGAAAGCCAAGGTCCAGGGGTAGGGTTAAGAAGAGGCTGAGAGAGGTGGTGACATCAAAATGTACCCTGGGCTGCTCACTCGATGTGCATGAAGTAGGGATTGGAAAGAGTGGATGATGTACAACTGAATAGATAGCCGGACAATATGTGGATACAGCGTTAGAATGGATGGATATGTGTATGGTAAGATGTATGTGCTTCATTGTGATTGAATGATTGGGCGAATGGACAATAAATAAATAAATAAATAGATAAATAAGTGATGAAAGTTGATTTGTGCATGCCACTGAACTGTCGACGGTTGTCGCCAGTTGGTCTAGAGGAGAATATGACCACATGTATGCTTCCGTTGCTGTCTGAACGCCTGTATTTGTGTGCACCTGCGTGTGGTGCATCCAACTACAGCCCATCTATCGGCCATGTGTAAACTCGCAACTCATGTTCACTCTATCCACTGCATTGTCTGCGTCCATTGGTACCATTGAAACCGTCAAACTGGCCGGTCTGCCCAACGGCATTCTCGAAATCGTCACATTTCACATTTCACATTTCACATTTCACGTCGCGACGCCCGACTGGCGTTTAATGCCAACGGCCAAGTGAGTGGGCATTTGAGCCTAATCTGTCAATCCGGTGTGTGATCTTATCCCTATTTTCTTCATCACCCCCGTGCAGGGCGGAACCACATTCACCTCACACACACACACACACACAAACATAAACATAAACATACAGGTAAGTGAAATCCGGAGTCTGAAAACATTTGTCATACTCGCAAAAGCGGTACCAACACCTTCGGACAGTGTGGACGTAATGAGTCGGATTAATGGCCACATGTTAGGGGAGGTGATACCGTGAGGGCAGCTTCTTCATCGGGCCAGCCGATGTGCAGTTGGGCGGATGAAACGGAACAAAGGTTG